GATGGACAGTCTTAGGTCAGAATCTTTTTTCTTATCCAATGATTTACCATTCAATTCAAATTAAACACATACATTACAGTGATACTTAATCCTCAATGACGAGGTATACCAACCGTACAGCAGAGCAGTTACCGCTGGGTACTTTCCCTCTTTTTACATATAATATATTTTATTAACATATGCAACTTAAATATTTTATTATGAAACATAAACTATACAACTGTAAGTTATATAGTCAACGAATGTGTGAAATTATTTGTAGATTTATATTACCTAATTGTTTTATATTCTAGAACCAATGTTATAAATCAAATATACCAAATACCAATCCGAAGTTATTCAAATAGGCGATAGCGACAGGTATTTAAATGAATTTAAATATTAATTAAAGATAAGAAATGAACAAAGTTATATGATCTCATTATTTATGTTCTACACCTAGTTGTTCAAAGGTCAAAAACTAGTATAATACTCACCACTCTAATATTATTTATAGAATTTAGACATAATAGTATACATATATGTATACTTATAGGTAAATATTATTGAGTGTTGTATCTTGCCATTAGTACATATTATTCTATTGCACAGTAAAGTTGGTACAATGTTCAATTGTTTTCTCAAGTTTTCTTTTATGGATAAATAAGTCAATACATAATTATAATATGACTCCAAAAATATACATCCCTTCTACATAATGTGTCTATAAATTATAATATTACCTATATGTGAGAACAAAAATCAAGTACTTAATTAAAACAGAAAAATAAATTATGGTAAGTCATTACTCATTAATAATAGCTATAATAACATATAATAACACAATTTTTATTTGTTTTTCAAAAACCTACTTTTAAAATGTTAATTTTATCTAATGGTTTTATTAGCTATTTAAACCAATTATTTTACTTTTTAAAAAGTACTTTGATTTGATTATTTTAAAACAAAAAATAAATTGTAAAAACTTCACATTAAATTTTAATAAGACGCTTAGACGCATGTGTTATCTCCGTCTTATAAACGTAAAGGTATAGGTACAGCAGTAGACAATTTGCGTTCAGCAGAACAAATTTTGTATTGTTAGCTTTAATACTATAGTGAATTAACCTATTATAAAATTTAAAGGTAAAAAAATTATCTAAGTTCGTAGGAACACGATGGGTTTTTGCATTAATGTAATAATCAAATGAATAATTATGAGTACCTAAGTGTGTAACTGCGTAAGCAAAATATTACAATTTAAAAATGCTCATAATTGTTATAACTTGGTTAAAAATTAAAACTATCATAAAAACCAACACAGATAATGACAGACGTTTAAGACTGATAATGATTCAAATCACTTTGATATTAAACCTAACAACACAAAATTGGTTCTGCTAAACATGAATACAACATTTTGAAAATCATATTTTTGTAAAATGGAGTAACAATGCCTATATTATACACGAGGGAATGGCATATGGTTTTTTTTTCTAATGGGATCCAATATTAAGAACTTGTCTTATTTTGTTCACATCGGAAATAAAAAAAATATATCATATTTATAGTAAATTGATGCTCATATTTCACACGAATCAAAACTTTAAACGATGTAAAGTATAAAATATATTGTCTAGATCTTTTGGATAATATTATTGGTAAGGTATAAAAATTAATTTAGTACTCAAAGTTGACAAATAATTAATGGATTATGATTTATGATTATTACTATACCTATTAGTAAAGTTAGTAGTTTATTAATTATTACCTATTGGATCTAGAAGCATACGCAAAAGGGGGCCGGGAGTAGCTGGGCCGTTTATCGCGTCGTACATTTTTCTATACAGTTTTAATTGTATAGACTATAGAAGTTGACTGTGTATCAGATTAAAGGTCATATAATAGTATTAAAATATTACGATTTAAAATACATAATATAAATAGTATTCAAATCAATATACAATTTATAAATAAATTATTTTTGTATACAAATTCTGTCAAAATTACAAACGGCGAGAACCAGTTGTGTATACAGATATTTGAGATAGGTGGGGTACGAATTTGTAAAAAAATAACAATGTTTCTGCAGTTTAAAATATATAATTGTATAGCTTAGTGGAATCGATAGTTAATAGGTAGGTATTGACGTATTGTTTACCGTACATAGTGGAATAAATACCCAGAGGAATCAATAAATATTATATCTTTTTTAAAAACATGACGTTTCAGCGGAATCGATAAATCCTCCAAAAAATGTTTAGTTGTAACCACCAGTGATGTATGGGTTCTCAAAATGCACCGAGCATTCTAGTTTTTGTTTCAGCGACTAAAATAACATTTTTCATTCAAAAGTATTCCGTAAGGGTCTTAATAAATTCGTATTTTTATTTTAAATGTCTTAAAACTTTTTGTTTCTTAAATTTCCACTGAGCAGGACTTTTATCGTTTTTTGGGTAGTGTATATTAACGTATAGTAAGGAATAAACGATAGTTAATGAATTCAAAATTATTTTTGTTGTTTTCAATTAGTTTATTTATACTTTTTTACACACATTTATCTAAAATAAATCATAATACTTTAAAAGTAGGTACCTATATATGTATAATATGATACGTGTATGTGATCACCAGCCCCCCTAAATACGTAACTGCTCAGAGGTCATCTTTTGTACAATCTAATCTTACACAGACACAACACACAAATTATGTAAATATTTATAATTTATTTATCATTTAGTATTGATAAAATTCAAAATTGGCACTGTAATGTTTACTGTAACAGTATTAGTCCGGTTAGTGCTGTTAGTTGTTACTGTTACTGTGTGTCAATATTTTTTTTAAATGTATAATTATTAAGATAGATAGCCAGATAGGTACCTACCTTATAATAAAAGTGTTATATTATATTATAAATGTAAATAAATTATTTTATTTCATACGTATTATTTTAGGTCAACAATATAAAAGTCAAATGTCCACTGCCTGAGGATGAAGACAATATAATACTTTCGAAAAAGGTATAATGTCAACTATCAAATAATTTTTAAGTGTTTAAGTAATTCAAGGAAAAAATAATAACATTTTAAATATTAATTAAATTTATTTAAATAAATTCTCAAGGGTGTCACTACTCACTACTATCACGTATTGTATTTTTCTTTGTATAAAACTTAATATTATAATATTTTAAACTACATTTGAGACTTGAGTTAGGTACTTATTAAGATTAACTACTATCTGCTGTAACGTTGTTTATAAATATAATAAAACAAACGCGATGAATGTTCTTCTTAATCTTATTCTTATAATATAAATATAATGTCTACAGTACTACACTGATTACAATTTAAGCTACAATCACATTAACTTAAAATTAATTAGATTATTTCAGCTATTACAGATATATTATAAAATATATTTATCACATTATATACAGATTTTTTTTTTTTTTAGGAAAAACAGGAAATCAAAATTGTTGAAAAAGGCGGAAATAGCGTAAAATGACGAGTAAAGGGATGCATTACTTATACTAAAATAATCAACATCTGAGCAGGCACTGGTATACAGGGAAATTCGGGTCTTACTA